ACTCGGGCAAGGGGTGCTTCCTGCTGACCAACAGCGACTACAACTACACCAAAGTCATCATGAACTACCTCTTCACCGTCGACCTGCCAGAGGTGTGTGTTGCGCGCATGTGTATGCATGTGCGCATGTGGACGTACATGAGTGGATGGAAATGTGACTGTGGGGAACAATGACTATGTGTACGTGTGTTGTCGATGGTGTTTCACTCTCGTTGGTAAAAGCATCATCCTGCATCACTCACATCACGTGACTCATCGCCACGTCATTGCATCATTATCACCACACCAACATCCCAACGCACCGTAGGGCTGGGATCGCGACTGGCAGTCGTACTTTGATCTGATTGTCGTCTCTGCGCGGAAACCGCTCTTCTTCCGCGACGGCACCGTGCTCCGCGAAGTGGACCAGGTGCGCAATGGGGATGTGCACTGGAGATGGGCAATGGGGTGTGTAATGCAGCAGAAAGAACGTCACTTTAGCTCTCACACACACACACACACACACACACACACACACACACACACACACACACACACACACACACACACATACACACACACACGCGCGCGCGCGCTCACACACGCTCACACATGCTCACACACGCTCACACATGCTCACACACGCTCACACACGCTCACACGCGCTCACACGCGCTCACTCACTCACTCACAAACAACGTGCCTATACACCTGCAGGAGACGGGCAAGCTGAAGCTTGGGCAGTATTCTGGCGGATCGCACCGCGGGCGCGTGTTCTCTGGTGGTTCCGCTGACATCATCAGCGAGATGTTGGGGAAGATGGGAGACAACATCCTGTATGTCGGCGATCACATCTTCGGAGACGTCCTCAAGTCGAAAAAACTGCGCGGATGGAAGTCAGTTGGGAGTTTTGCGTTGTTTGGTGTTGTGTGTTGTGTAGATGCTTGCTGCGATGCTGAGGTTGTAAGGGTTTGGATGTGGTGCTTCATTTTGGTGTCACTGATTTGTGTGCTTGCAACAAGACTGTTTTCATGCTATTTCTGCATGTGTGACATCTCGTCGCTTGGACTGACAAGACACACACACACACACACAACGCACTACACAATACACATGTACAACACAACACAACACACTCGCAGGACCTTCCTCATCATGCCTGAGCTGCACCAGTACGCGTTTGCTGTTTGTTTGTGTGCTTTTTTTATGCGTCTGTTGCTTGCAAGCATGGCTGCTGACACTCGGCTGCACGCAACTCTCCTGTCGCGTCAACCGCGTGCTTATGACTCTTTCTCACTCTGCCATCGACATTTCATTTTGCAGGGAGCTGCGGTCGTTGCATGCAGGCATGAAGTACTACCAGCGTCTGAAGAACCTCGAGTTTATGCTGGCAGAGCTCTACAGGTGTGCACGTGTGTGTGTGTGTGCGTGTGTGTGTGTGTGTGTGTGTGTGTGTGTGTGTGTGTGTGTGTGTGTGCAGCTGATTCCGCGCTTCTATCGCGTTCATGGCGTTGTCTCGTCCTCACACCACATCCCCACTGCACCATGCCATGACGCCGCCACGTTTCACCACCACAGGGGCCTGGCCTCTGACGCAACGGAGGAGCCAGATGCGTCTGAATTGAAGAAAGCCATTGACGACACGTCAAAGACCCTTGATCGCGTCTTCAACCACTACTTTGGCAGCACCTTCCGCAGCGGTATGTACATGTTTGTTTGTGTTGTGTGTATGTGCTTGTGTGTGTGCTTGTTTGTTTACGATGGATGCACATTCCTCGTATGTGTGCTCCACACAAACTCCATTTTCATCAGGACGCGCCTCTCACCTTCAGACACACACACACACACACACACACACACACACACACACACACACACACACACACACACACACACACACACACACACACACACACACACACACACACACACACACACACACACACACACACACACACACACACACACACACACAACCCGCCGCAATATTCAACATCGTACAGGTTCGCGGCAGTCGTTCTTTGCGATGCAGACGTCGCGGTATGCGGATCTGTACTCCTCGTCCCTGCTCAACCTCATCAACTACCCGCTCTTCTACAACTTCCACTCCGTCGCCCTCTCCCTCCCGCACGAGTCTGGCCTTTGGAAGCGCTGAATGCACTGGCCAGCGTGGTCAATGATGATGGGTGGTGGCGGTGACAGAAGTCGGTTTTATGTCGCTTCAGCCCCTCGTTCCCTTCCCCTCTTTCCATCATTCCTTTCATGCCTCGAACGGAAAGAGCGCGCCCAGGGCACACGCCCGAGCATGCAACATGTACAAGAGCGGTGGTGGTCGCCCCTTGTGTGAATGTGATGTGGTGTGATTGCAACGCTCCTTTTTGTTCGTTTCTCATCATTGGCCCAAAATAGATGAGCATGAGCGTGTTTTGTTGTCGCATTTGTCGTCGTGTCCGTGGTCAGTTGGTGTAGCTGGTTTCGTCGTCGGGGTAGCCGTGTTAGTGTTTGTTATCCCTTGCTCTAGTTCATTAGTGCACGGTTGTTCTTCTCACTTTGTTGGCGTAGCTGTTGCATGCTGTGTAGCACCCGTAAAACCCCTCCAACCCAATCAGCACCATCGCCGAGTGTTTGAGTGTTGCTTTCACCGGTCGACACACCATGCGTTGCACAAGCTGTTGGAGGTCAAGAGTTTATGATGGCACGCCTGGTTTGGAGCACGCTGGCAGGCATGGCAAGAACAACAGCATTCGTATCACACGTGGCATAACATGGTGAATGACGGCTGGGTTGACGCAACAACGGTAACACCAGGACCACCAAAACATGGAACTATGTAGCACGTTGCTGACTGGTTGGCGAGTAGTCATACCGTGAGTAACTAACATTGCGCAAACACCCTGGATAACATAGACAGCCGTTGTACCGTTCAGCCAGTCAAAACGAGGCAGACAAGCTGCTGAACAATGATGCACATAATCACACGCATGCACGAACACACGAACATTCACACACACACACACAAATACACACACAAATACACACGCACACACACAAATACACACACAAATACACGCGCACACACACACACATACACACACAAACACTCACAGACGCACATACACACACACACACAGACGTGGTCATAGGCCGTGCTGGATGTGCCAGTGGTAGAACCGCTGCTCGATGATTTCGACAAGTTTTGGGCGGTCGTGGCGAAACGCCGTAACGTTGCCGCTTGGTCGGTTGTGCGTGCGCGCCTGCGTAAGGCGCTCAACACCCGCTATCACGTCGTCAACGTCCACTTCCGTGTCCAGGCCCAGAGTCTGCAGCAGCTGCAGGGTCATTTCGCGTTCGTGGTGCACAATGTCTGGGTAGCGTTGTACGCAGCAGGGGCACGTGTGTGTCATCCATCGCGATACAAACTGCACCTCCCGATCCAACGCGCGCAGAAGCGTTCGCTCGCTGGCCAGTGTTGTTTCCATGTGCAGGATGCTCGCACCAACCTGGACAGCATTGCACGCATGTTGTGGTACGTGTCATGGTGACACGGCGTGAGGAGGAGGAGGAGGAGGAGGAGGAGGAGGAGGAGGAGGAGGAGATGGAGAAGCGAAAGCCATAAACATAGCAGAAACAGAACAAGCAGAAGAAGAAAGAGAAGAGCAGACAAGAGAAATGCCCAATACAAGTCTTGCGTTTGGGCACACAAGGTGGTTGTGTGGACATGTCAACAGTGCCATACAGCTGGCAGTCGCTGCACTGGTCCAACCACCGCAGCACGTGCATACCTCAACCAGGTTGCGGATTGTGGCAAACACCATGGTAGCCTGCCGAGCATGGACGACAAAATCGTGGACTTTGAGCAGCACCACAGATGCCGTGCGCCGATCAGAGAGGCCCTTCCGCGTCTCGTTGGAGGTGGTGTAGTACCAAGTGGTCTCGTTCAGCGGCCAGAGTTGCTGCAGCTGCAGCGCCATCTTGATGGTGTTGTACTGCCACGTGCTGGCGGACCGATGGATACCTGGGGTCCAAAGTCGAAGCAGATAGACGAGCAACAAGAGGGCAGTGCGAGAAGAAACAGCGCCAATGAGACGGGGAAGTCGTGTCAAGTCGTTGTTTGTCGTGTGTTCAACGTGTCATCTCCTCCGTGCATGCACCTTGACTTGACGCAAATGCGGGCGAAAGTGGAGGAGAATCAAAAGCAAGAGGCAAGGTGATTTGCAGAGCGTGTGGGCAGACTCGAACCTGCGACGTAGATGGTCAAGGGTTCCCGGTTCGCCAACCTCTGCGCAACTGTGCTGATCCTGCACACACGCGAATATGCCGTGTCCCTTTCCGGAACACCTACAACAACTTCATCATCTGCCGCCGCGGCTGTGAGGGATTGGGTGCTGGCTTCCTCTCCCTGAGTGGTGTCATGACCTGCAGTTGTTTCGCCGATGGCGGCAGTCACACTACCTCCAGCTCCTGCTGTGCCCACCAAAACCACAGTCATCAACAACATGCACACCCATCCACACCACGAACACGACCACAACGTCATCTTCTGTCCTTGAAGGTCGAGGGCATTGTGGGCGATTAGCCATATCTTCATACAACTTTCATTGTTGTGGAAACCGCGCACTGCCACATTCCGCCAAATACAAGCCAAGCGCAGCGCAGCAGCCAAAGCAACCCGGTCTTACTTGCCTGCCTGCTCACCAACTTGCTTTGTTGAGAGAGGCAGAATGGCGGAGCAAGCGGCTGTTGATGCTGCGGCCACCATGCCACCAGCAGGCCTCTCAACGTGGGAGCGCCAACAACGGTGAGTTTGTGCTGCTTTGCGATGGTGTATGAGTGAGTGAGTGAGAGTGTGTATGAGTGAGGGTGTATGAGTGAGAGTGAGTATGAGTGTGTGTGTGTGTGTGTGTCAACGAGTCAGCGAACACTGGCGTGCGTGATTGCGTGTGCTCGTGTCATGGCGTGTGACATGCTGCGGCTTCCTTGTTGGTGCTCGCACATCACGGATGCAGGCTGGAGGCTGCTCAATCTGCACATACAGCAACACTTGCACCAGCAACCAAGGACCACATCACAGAACTGCAGTAAGCCACTGTCTGCATGGTTGACGCTGACGTTGTTACAACTGCATGCGCTTGCACACGCACACACACGCACACAGATGCTGACGTACTCCTTGTGTGTGCACGCGTACGCCTATCAGGGCCATGCTGAGCGAGCGCGGGGACACCGATGTCGGCGCTTCACTGCCCATGAGGTCCAGTGGGCTGTCAAAGGCGTATCTGCGCAACCTCATGCAGCGCCGAGTCAAGGAGCTTCAGACTGGTGGTGCTGGCACAAGCGAGGGCATGCCGTCCTCGGAGTACCGCAACAGCTTTCGTGCTGTGAGCAGCACTGGCGGACCACCAGGATCACGATCCCGCACAGCCGCACGAACGGCGCCACCCGCACAGCCAGTGCGTCGTATTCACCACAGCATCAACACGCTGGGGCGGGGCTCCTCGCTCCCACCCAACGAGGCGGACCTCTTGCCAGTGTATCCAGCAACGGAGTGGCAGAACGCACCACAGACACAGCCCCGCTGGCGAGACAGCGTGGGTGAGTTCCTCTGGGCAGGCGACCAGCGTGCACAGCCGCAACAACACCAGCCGCGCCCACAAAGCGCACAATCGCAGGTACAACAGCACAAGAGAGCGGGTGGAGGAGCTGCAGACAAGCACGTGCACTTTGCAGACACGAGTGCTGCATCACCTCCACCACCGACACAGCCCATCTTCATCAAGCCACACGATGAACAAGAACAGCAGCAGCAGCAACAGCGCAAAGGCGACCGTGGGAACCGTCCTGTCAAGCTCAGCGAATACGAGGTGGGAAGTGACAGACTGTGGTGGGTGGTGGTACATGCACCTGCGTGCTTGGTTGCTTGCGTGCTCGCTGGCTGACTTCTTTCTACCTTTGTCAGAGCACATAGCACACACACACACACAGAGTAGGTGCCTGTCTCTCTCACACCTCCTCCCCCTATCTCCCCCCTCTTCTTCTGGCTTGTTTACTTACTTGCATGGATAATTGCTGTATTAGGAGCGGTACAAGTGGCACGACGTTGAACATCGCTCGGAGTTTGGACGCTCGTTGCATCATCCAGATCAGCTGCTGCAAGGGAAAAACATGCAAGACGTGTTTCCAAGGAGCAAAGCAGCCCATGTGCCAATCGAATCGGAATACGACGTGAGTATGCATGGGTGTGTGTGTGTGTGTGTGTGCGTGTGTGTGTGTGTGTGTGTGTGTGTGTGTGTGTGCGTGTGTGTGTGTGTGTGTGTAAATGTGTTGATCACCGCTTTGCTGGGCTCAGCTCATGTGCGCCTTACCGCCGCCGTTCTCATTTCATCCACACCATTCCTGCGTCTGCGCGTGCACATGTGTGATGTCATTTGACAGCTTTCCTTCCGCTGGCCCGGTGGCCGCCCCCTGATGCCCTCAACTCCTCGCAATCGTGGCGACAATGGCGATGGCACAGCAGCCGCCGTGACCCCACAGACACAAAGCAGCGGCGTGTTCACCGCCCTACACACCGCGCCAGATGCAAGGGCGCAAGACACAGAATACACATCGCGGTGAGTGTACGCGCGCATGTGTTGTGTGTGGTGTGTGGTGTGTGGTGTGTGGTGTGTGGTGTGTGGTGTGTGGTGTGTGTTTGTGTGTTTGTGTGTTTGTGTGTTTGTGTGTTTGTGTGGTGTGTTTTGTTATTCAAGCGTCTGTATGCTTGCATGTGCGCGTTTACGTCTGTGGAATTGCGCGCGTATGGGTACTTTGTGCAAGCCCAACCCCTCACTCTTCCGTGCTCTCCCCCGCCCCTCCCAAACGACCTCAATGCCATGTGCTCGTCAGGTATGCGTGGCACGGCCCACCAGCGCTGCCAGAACCGCCACAGGCTGCTGTCACCACAACAGGGGTCGAGGTCGACACAGCAGATCTGGAGCGCAGTGCGCGCCAACAGCACGTGCCGTTCAACCCAGTCTCGGAATACAGACGCAGGTGTGTGTGTGTGTGTGTGTGTGTGTGTGTGTGTGTGTGTGTGTGTGTGTGTGTGTGTGTGTGTGTGTGTGTGTGTGTGTGTGTGTGTGTGTGTGTGTGTGTGTGTGTGTGTGTGTGTGTGTGTGAGTGAGTGAGGAAACGGCTCGTTGTGCGTCCTTGTCTGTTGCGTTGGCTCATGCATCGACCATCACCAATGGTGGTGCATTGTATTGTTCGTCATTCTGTTGCGTGCAACACAGGTACATGGCACCCCCACAGCCAGAGATGGTGTCTGTTGGCACTGAAGTGACGGAACGAGATCTCATTCCACCCCCGCCTCTGTAAGTGTAAATTAGCGTAATCCACGTTGCTGCCCGCAAGCACGTTGGCTACCATAGTCCCCTTTGTATAATCGCTCATCACCCTCGTGTGTGTGTGTGTGTGTGTGTGTGTGTGTGTGTGTGTGTGTGTGTGTGTGTGTGTGTGTGTGTGTGTGTGTGTGTGTGTGTGTGTG